ATCTACAGATCTCAATGAGAAACACTTCTTACTCCATGTTCCTCCCACTGCACCCCAGCCCAAAGCTGATGTGGTAGATAACAGAAACTGTCACAACAGTTTGCAGCTGACCCTCATCAAGTCCTCTGTTTCTTCCTCTACAAATGAAGTGTCTCGCTTTCACAAATTAACAATTTATTTTATTTTGGTATATGTAGGGGTATAGAAAGCACTAACATACCAGATTAACACATGTTAAAGAAAGAACATATAAATCTGTGTCCCTGGTGGCTATTGATAATAAAATCCTCAGCAAAATACCAGAAAATAGAAATCAGATGTGCATAAAAAGAATTATGTACTGTGACCAAGTAGGATTTATCCCAGCATTTAAGCTTGATGTAGCATATGAAAATCAATCAATGTACCACAAAACAGTAATAGAGTTAAGGACCAAACCCATATATCATTGCACTAAATGCAAATAACCATTTGACATAATCCACACCCTTTCATGATAAGAATGCTTGAGCTAAGAATAAAGGGACATTAATAAGAATCCAAGGCTAACATCACTCCGAGCAATGAAAGATCACAAGCTTTTCTTCAACACACTAGTAACAGATAAGGATTCAGCTCTTGCTACCTCTAAACAATGTTGTTCTGGAGGGTCAACTCAGTGAATTCTTCAGGAAAGAGAACAGGTACTCATATTGAATAGAAGAATAAAACTGTATATATCTTTAGCATGATTTTTCTATCTAAAAAATTCCTAAACAGTCCCCAACATACACACATACATGCATGCATACACACATGATTATGATGTAAGATCAATGTACAAAATCGGTGAAAATAAGTATTCTAAAATAAGATTAAGAAGTTCAACTCATGATAACATCAGCAAATTAAGATTATATAGTTCACAGTATTTGAAGGCGTTGCATTGAAAATAACTGTATCACTTCATGATACAGCTTTAACAGGAACATGGGGGCATTCTCTGGAATGACCTACAGGTTTAATACACATCCCTATCAAAAGCCCAGCTTCCTCTCCTGAAGAAATTGACAAGAAAAACACAAGAGACGTGGCCTCACCAAACCGATCTTCAATAAAAATTAAAATTAGAAGATTCAGGTTTCTGAGTTTATAAAATTGATGTAAAGATACAGTGATTGAGACACTTTATATCTAGCATAAAACAAAAATCTCCAAAACAATGTCATAAATTTATGATAACTTGATTTTTTTTTACAAGTAAGCTAAGATAATTCAATGGGAAGAAGTAATTTTTTTCAAACAAAATATCCTGGGATTGCTGGACATTCTCATGCAGAATTTCACAGTTGAGTAGCTTCTGTATGGCATATATGGAAATTAACTCAGGTGGATTAAATGGGAGAGATAAGGCTTAAAAAATTTCTTGGAGAAAACATGAGTGAATTTTTATGATTTTAGCTTACATGATATACCCGATATCCAAAATAAAAGCTGTAAGAGTAATTAGTAAGTACATTGTAAATAAGTAAATACATTGAGTTTCATCAAAATTAATGAGGGAAAAAATGTACTCCAAAGAAGAGTACCAGAAAACGTAAAGTACAAGTGGACAATAGAAGACATTTTTACAACTCATGGATTTGAAGTATGTGTGCTTGTGTATGCACACATAAAAATCAATAAAACTAACACACATAAGCATACACACTCATATTCATATACTGTTTTATTTATGTGTATGTGTGTGGTATCTGGATGAGCATAGGCCACATATATGAAGATGCCCACAGAGAGCATTGGATGCCCTGGAGCAGGAGTTACAGAGGTTCAAACCACCTGACATGAATGTTAGAAACCAAATTCAAGTCCTCTGGGAAAGCAGGAAGTACTCCTAGTGACTGAGCCAACTCATCTCCAGGCTCTCATCCATTCATATGTAAACTGGGAACTCTTCAACAATAAATAGATAACCCAATTAAAAACAGACAGTGTGTTGAACAGAAATTTCTCTGAAGAATGTCTGTAAATGGTCAATAAGCACATGACAAGGTGTCTATCACAGAATGGTAAAACCTAAGCAAGGAGATATTACTTTTCACTCAATGGGTGGATTCTTACCAAAAACACTGGCAACAGTGAGACTTGAGGACAAACTTGGTGTGATACCTTCATCCATTACTAACGGAAGTGCAAGACGGTGCAGCTGCTTTCAAAATTATTTTTCAGTTCCTCAAAAACATTAAACAGAAACCATACTTCTAACTGTACTCTTGGTTATATACTCAAGATCAATGAAAATATTTATTCATCCAAAATCTTGTGCATAAATATACATAGCATTATTCTTCATAATTGCCAAAAATAATAGAAACAAACCCACATGACAGTTGATAAGTGAAGAAAATGTGGCAAGTGCATATGGTGGAGTGTGCTATCTGTTGATGAAGAGGGATGGAATACTAATACATGTAACATCGTGGAC